AGAAGAAAGGTTCAACTTTCGAAAGCGCTCGGGTTATAGGGTTTTTATCATTTTGTATTAAGACTTCTTAAACTTACGTGTTTTTCTGACATCAGGGAAGTATATGTTTGTAGGGGTGCATGTTATTCACTTCCAGTGAGCTGGAAGTTTTATTTACTTCCAAAATATATGAGTGGCAGCAAGTGTGTGTGTTACTGCAGTGGCCTGCTGTAATGCACAACAGGTATTGGTTAGATAAGCATTGTCCACTTTTTAGATAAGTGAACAACAGCCACTGTCATTATAACATAGTATCAGCAGTGATTTGTCACTGCAAATTATACATGATGTTTTAGCTATTGATGAAAAACAGCCTACCCTACTCCCAGAGCTGGATCCATGTTATTTACTCTCTTTGATGAGTTGTTGCGTTATTCATTCTCAGATGAATGGTACTGACCTCTGGAGCAAATTATCATTATAATTCGTGTATATGTTGCAATATTTGTCCAAAATTAAACAAATGTGGTACGTTTGGGTTTGAAGCAGAGCATACAGTTTTGTCAAGACGTATGATTGATGCCTGTTGTATTTAGTTGCCATGCAGCACTACTTTAAATTGATAAATGGCCAGTATGCAGGTGCCTGTTGTGTTTAGTTGCCAAGCAGAACAACCTTAAATAGGTAAATGGCTAGTATTCAGGTGCCTGTTGTATTTAGTTGCCAAGCAGAACTACCTTAAATAGGTAAATGGCTAGTATTCAGGTGCCTGTTGTGTTTAGTTGCCAGGCAGCACTACTTTAAATTGGTAAATGGCCAGTATGCAGATGCCTGTTGTGTTTAGTTGCCAGGCAGCACTACTTAAATTGGTAGATGGCCAGTATGCAGATACCTGTTGTTTTTAGTTGCCAAGCAGAACTACCTTAAATTGACAAATGGTACTGTTTGATAACTAAGGAGCTACTACAGTGTGTGTATAATAACATATAGACTTTGTTGTTAGTGGTATTACGCGTATAAGTTTACAATTATGTATTACTTTAAACATATTACACACACATTCAGTTTACTACTAACAGATGCCCATTGAAACAATTCAACGGTACATTTCCTAAAAACAGTGATGAATGAATAAGAAATGTGCAGTCAACCCAATGCCTTAAATCAGAGAGTTTATGCAATATGATTGTCTAGTGGTCCGTTTACAACCGTATTTTGTCATTCCATAAAAAAAATTCCATCGCTTTTATTTTTAAACAAGGGAGACTGACTGCAATGCATTGTTGGCACAAATGTTTGGGTTTCGATGCAATGAGTGTATCCAGCACAATAGAGTGCTCAGGTCTCTTTAAGTATCCATGGGATTTTTTCCCCAATGGATGTCACTGTTCCTTGTCATTTTACTGAATGCAAGAAAATACCTTTACAGAAGTGAACACTTTTGACAATTGTCATTAGTATAAGAATTGTCGAAGGGGGGATATTCAATTCAAATAAACTTATTCGACGTGGTACAATGAAATCTTGCAAATATATAAATCCAACATGAAATATATATATAAATCGTACAACAACAAAATTTATGCTCAAACACGTTCCTCTCCTTATGCGTTCTTTCCGCTCATACTTCTATCTTCGAAATATTTCTTTCAATCAGTCAACGGGGGGGGGGTCCAGATT